CCCCTCCTTGGGGCTCGTCGAGAATAACCAGGGGAACAGTCAATGCCCAGATTGACGGCCGACTGCACGACGGGCCCCGCAAGCCCCCCCAAGACAATATCTGACCTGCTTGGCGGGCGAATCCGAGGAGGCAGCGAGGGGGGCTTTATGCGCCGAAATAACAGCGCCCATCCCGTTCTCGATGGCTTCCCTGAGGTTCGCTGCGGCCTCAGGGAGGCGTTCCACAATGTAGGCGCTAGTGCCTGTGCAGCTGAGGCCGTAGTCGTCTATGTAGACGTCGAGGGCAATGCCTGGGGGCAGCTTCAGCGCGCCGAGGGCAGGGATGGCATCGACGCGCGCCGTCGCGGTTGCGAAACCGCAGCCTGCGACGACACCTCGGTCAACATAAAAAGGGCCGGCCACAAGGCCTGACAGAGAAACGCACCTGCCATGCCGATATCCTCGCGCAGCTAGCCTCGCTAACTGGACGGGGAACTTGTACTGGTGGCATCGCTGAAGGAGCGTGGCCAGTTGAACAAATTCAAAGCATTTGAAGAGATCCCAAAGCGGGGTGCAGCCGGATTGCCTCTTGGCCACAGCTCCTTCAGCTCTCAAATTTTGCCCCCAGGCGACATCGACGGCAGAAGTGAACTGAAGCCAAGAAAAATAGCTTCTCTGAAATCCACGTTCCCATTGAGTCGCGTACTTTCTGCGGCGCCGCCCCCAGAGGCGGTAGGAGCTACAGAAAAGGCCAATGGGCCGAACACCCCCCGAGGGCTTTTGCCGCAAGGAGAGAACCACAGCCGAAACCTGCCCAGGGAAACGCCCCGATGCTTCCATAATAGCGTACATCGTCCCCATGACCTCGAGGGCTCCATCGGACAGAGAAGCATCGTGTTTCATGTGAAAACCGTCCACCGCAGTGGCAGATCGCGAGGAATACCGCCTAGGCGCAGACCTGAGCTCATCAGCCGTGAGCCGCGGGAGGGGTTCTATAAACTGAAAGGTGGGGTCGGGGCGGTGGGGGGAGCGGTCAGCATTCCATAACTTGCTGAACTTGCTGGCCTCAGAGCCAAGCGGCGCGAGGGGGTCTGAAATCACCGCCCCCTCGCGACTCAACGTGGTAGTCGGGGTCCATGGCTGACTCCCTCGAACATGCTGATGCGCTCTCCTGGCGCCTCGATCGATGGACTGGAGGAGCCGCGCTTTCCACTCAGAAAGAGCCTGCGACTTGGCCTTGACGGCGTAAGTGGCAAGGTACTCTTCTAAGTCCGAGAGCATGGCTTCCCCAATCTTCAAGTCGAGCAGGTCGTGCTGACCTAAAAACTCTTGCACCCGCAGGACTTGGCCAGCGTGGACATCCAGCCAATGCTTCAGAAAGGCAGGCGGCCCCAACAGGACGTGCGAACTTCCTGGCCCTGGGCGGATAAGGCAACGCGTCAAGCTGGGAGGAGCCCGAACTTGCTACTAACCATTTGATGGACAACAGCGGGGGTTTTCGATGGGGCCTGACAACCTTGCTCCAACAAAATGACCCACCTCTGCTGAGGCATCTTCCCCCTGCTCCCCCAACAAAGAAGGGTGATTCGTCGGTTCCCTGCAAGCTCCTTCTCCGTGGTGTCAGCCCAGTGCTTATAGGGGGCGCCGAGCTTGCACTGTACAGCGTGCGCATCGCCGCTCTGGCAGGCATCTAGGGCACGATCAACTTCGCCCTGGACCACAGCCCAGGGTGGTGGCGGTGGGCAGGGGCCAATAGGCGGTTCTGTCGGCAGCGGGGGTGGCTTCCGAAAGTCCAGCCAATGCAGCTGACCAGCTCCAGCGTGAAACCGCATCTGTACTGGAAGGTGAGTGACGGTGTTCGAAGTGTGCTCAGCTTCGACGTGTGATATACCTCTTGCGAGGCCCGAGGTAACGATGAAATAATCGAGCATGCTCGTGCCACGCGCGCCGACCACATCCTTCGGGATAATCGACTGCGCACACAACCTATAGACGATGCCCGAGGAAGCAAGTGTGTCGGGACTCATGTTGAAATCAGCACCGATGATGGAAGGGGAGGGCCACCTGCTCCGCGACAGCGCCGACGTGTGCCAGGAGCTCGGCACTGGCCTCCGACAGCCCTTCAACTGTAACCAAGTAGGTACTACAAGCGAAAGCGGGGTCCCCTCCAGGAACATGCACGATGACACCGATGGGCCGATGCTGATCGATGGTGTACCCACCAGGGGGCGCGTGGCACCCAAGAGAGTCCTTGACCAGGATGCCGACCCCCGAAGACGTACCATGCCCAATTCCTGGAGCAGCTGGCCCAAGAACAGCTTTCTACCCATGCCGATTCGCCCAACCTATGGCCTCCGCGAGCTCAGGCTCCAGCTGATGACGCTCGCGGATGAAAGAATATGCGCTCCGCAGTTTGGCGGCCAAGCTTTGAGCCCACCTCCCGAGCCGGAGTGCCACGAGGTCACGTTGGCAGTCTGAATCGCGAGCTCCACATTTGATTCCAGGGCTGGGCCCAGGGGGTAGCATCGGACAAAAAAACTGCGATGCCTGGGCGCGTGAAAAACCTTGCCCAGCCACGGCCTGTCGGTAGGCCGCGGGGCCCTCGGACCCCAAAAAACTCAACCTGGCGGGCAGCAGGGCTGGGCGCTTGCAAACTGCTTTGCGCGCGTCTTCCACGGGGCCGCTTATCCAGGTGCAGATGTGTTTTGTTTGTGTGTGTGTGCGGGCGTGGTGTGTGTGTGTGTGTGTGTGTGTGTGTGTGCGTGGTGCGTGCGTGCGCGTGCGTGCGTGCGTGCGTGCGTGCGTGCGTGCGTGCGTGTGCGTGTGTGTGTGTGTGTGTGTGCGTGTGCGTGCGCGTGTGTGTGCGTGGGGGGCGGGGCGGGGGGGGGGGCGCGGGGGGGGGGGGGGGGGGCGCTTCTTTAGCGAGGGTGCGACCAACAGCTTGTGCCAATGACTGAGAGTGGCAGGAGACTGCCTGCAACCAGTCGAGGGGGTGTCCAACTCCGTCGACTGGGGATGAGTACGACCCAAAAAGGGAAGGCGTTCTGAGACCGACAATCTCGAGAACATCGCTGGCAAAAGGTGGGGGCTGCCGCACCTGGCCTCCTGGGCCCACATGCGTTCCCAGGAGGCTTAGGGGGCAAGAATGGCCTGCATGAGGCCTGGTTAAACAAAAAAGGTTCGTGGGCGCTCATCTCCTGAACGCTGGGGCTGACAGGCGCATGCTGCGACGGATATGCGGCCGGGCTATGCTGCGTTACCCCCCCCCCCCCCCCCCCCCCCCCCGGGGGGGGGGGGGGGGGGGGGGGGGCTGTCTGCCTGGGCGCGCACATCGTCAGAAGTAGGCGGGGCTCCACCACCACCTGTCGACTGCGGCTCAGCAGCAGCAGCGGGCGCGGGCCCTGCTGCTGCGCCTGAGGGCTCAGCGGCCCCCTGTCCTTCAGCACGAGCTCCGTCCGCTGGTGCTGGTTCCTGAGCAGGGACTGGTACCTCTTCTCCTCCTGCAACATCTCCACGATCTGTGCGCCGCCGCTTGGCCGCAATCCTGGTGAGGCGTTCCCGATGTGCATCGCGAGCCGCCTTGGCGGCTGCCACCAGTGGGCCCAGCAAGTCCTTGGCGAACTTGGACACTCCTGTGTTGAGGTCGTCCTTCCGCTTGGCGATCTCATCTCGGTCCTCGGGGTCGAGCTGGTCGTCGCCCTCGAAGAAACTGCCTTCATCAATGGTGAGGAAGGTGCCCAGGTCGAAGGACTCGTCGCACAGGTCCTCGAGCTTGAGCCCGGCAGGGCCTGTCGGAGCACCAGGGGGCTGTCCCACAGAGGCCCGCTGCTGCAGCTCGGCGACCAACGATTTGTAGAGCGCATCAGCCTCCTCCAACTCGGCACGCATGTCGCGCGCGGTGCCCTCGAGGGCCAGGATGTCGCTCCGCCAGCCCAGCAGCTTGTCCGCTTCTTTGTAAAGCGCCTTCTCCAGCCGCGTGACCACTGCATACTGCTGCTGCACTCGCTGGCGCAGCGGGGTGGGCCGCTTGGGCGCCTCCAGAGCCAGCAGCCGCTTGTACTCAGCCTCGTACTTGCCAGCCGTGGACAGGTCGCCTCCGTTGCGTGCAAGTTCGGCGAGCTGCTTAGCCTCGGTCGAGCTGAGCTGGTTTCGGGCCCCCAATGGCAGTGGTGCGGCCTTGAGCGCCCCGCCAGCATGGGCACCCCCACCATGCGGTCCTCCAGCTGGTTGAGCGGGAGTGGGGATCTTGCCGTGGGGCGCTGTTGCCTGCGTAGACAATGAATCTTGCGATCCGAAAACTCCTGGCGGTGGATGGGCCCAAGCACCACTCTGAGGTAGACCGCCATCAGCAGGACGAACGAGCGCAAGCGACGTGCCACAGTGCTTGCAAAAACGTGCCGACTTCTGATTCTTTGCGCAACCACAACAGCTGCACTTGACCTTTGAGATGCCGTCACCGTTTGTACCAGCAGCGTCGTGCCACCAGTCTGAATATGAATCTGCGCCATTACGGTGCCAGGGGGGCGGGGCCGTGCCACGATCCTCTCGACCATGCTATTGTCCGCGTCCTAAACCTTTGCCACCGCCATGGCGCTGAGTGGAAGGCTGGGGCGTCATACACCCGCGATCACTGAGAAAGAAACCCTACGCCAAGCCAAATGCCCGTTGACGCAGTGCCGCTCTGAAGTTGGCGTTAACAAGCACAAAGACTTGTGCCAGAACGGCTCGGCGACTACGACGGCGAACGACGGACGACGGAAGACTCACGACGACGGAGACGACGGAGACGACAACAACGACGACGACGACGACGACGACGACGACGACGACGACGACGACGACGACGACCGACCACGCCACACGACACACGACGCACGACGCACGACGCACGGTGCCTCAGGAGTCTGGGACGGTACGCTGGAGGGCTCGAGGCTCAGGGGGAGCCCGAGGAGGGAGGGAGGTCGAAGGGGCTCGAGGCTCCCTCGGCCCTCGGCCCTCGGCCCCCGCCCGGGCGGCGGCGCCGTCGGCCGCGCTCCGCGGGGCCCCGGCGGGGACCTCCAGCGTCGCCAGGGCACTCGCCCGCTGCGTCGCCATCCGGACCTCCAGGGAGTCCACGGCCTCTGGCAGGGCGGGCGGGGCCTTCTGACCCACACCCTCTCGAATTATGGAAAGGAGGAGGAGCAGGAGGAGGAGGAGGAGGAAGAGGAGGAGGGGGAGGAGGAGGAGGAGGACTAGGAGCAGGAGTAGGAGTAGGAGGAGGAGGAGGACCCAGACACCCACGAATTATGAAGAATCGCGACGGGAGTGTCGCCAATTTCGGCCCCTGGGGGCCCTGATCGGCCCTCGGGGCCGTCAAGAACGACTTAGGATGAAAAGCCGGTCCCAGGGAATTGGTCAAGACCTCTGGGGGTCGACGCTTTAAAAAATCATGATGTCGCGGATCTGGGGATGGGCCTTCTCAGAGGGCAGGAAATCCCCCCCATGATAAGCACCCCAACAAGCGAAGCCGTTTCGCAAACGCACCCAAGGAGGGAACCGAACAGGGCAGGGCTGTTTCGTAAACGACCAGTGCCGGCTAGTAAGCGCCATCTGTCGGGGTGGTCTGCTCTGGGCAGCGCGCACAAAGGGGTAGGGGGGGAGGGGGATCGCTTCTTAGAAGGAGGCTGCGGCCTCACATCTACGGATACGGCCCACGCCTTCTAAGAAGCAGCTTCCTCCCAAGAAGCCTTCCCCCCTCCCCCTACCTCCCTCTGCGCGTGGGACGAAGCCAGGGCGAAGATACATTCGGGTGAGGATAAATCGAGAACCTCTGAGATCCGTCGGCTCTGGAGGATATCTCTGGCGCCGCGGCCTTCTCAAAGCGTTCCGGAGCGCTTTGAGAGCGTTCCAGAAAAAGGTATGGAGCGGATTGTGTGCTCGTCCTAGCCCCGCCAGACCTTTTCTGAAGGGATCTGGAGCTCCCTCGATGTCTGTGTGGAGCCCACAATCCTCGTGACCCAACAGGGGGTCCAGCTGAAAGGGAATAATGCATTAGATGTGGGGCAATAGTATTGCAAATGCATTGCGCTAGAGATTCGTACTGCGTGGTATTGAAACTAATGCATTGCACGCAGAAGACCAGCAATACATCTGCGCACCGCAATGTATTGCAAGCCTGGACTGCATGGCAATCCCACCAGTCAATGGCACCAAATCTACTGCACCACCCTCTTTACGCTGCTGGACCCCCTACCCATCGGTCGGAAGAAGTAGGTAGAAACATGAAGTAGGAAGGCGTTGGAAATAGATTGGGTTTCCGCCCGCCTCCTGAAGAGGAAGGAAGAGGGAAACCCACTCGACTCTTGAAGTAGGAAGGCGCTCAAAGTAGATTGGAATCTGGGAATCCAAAAATACCTACTTTCAACGACCGATGGGTACGTGTGTACCTCCTTCTTGCGCTCCTGAGTCTGAGGCTTCGAGATCCGAGGCTCGAGGCCAGTCCCCGAGACCAGTCGCGTGGTGTAAACCTTCGCGCAACGCGTATTCTCGAAACCAACGTGTATTCATGTGCAGTCACCCCGCATCATAAGGACGCGCGATAAGGATGCAAGGGCCTTGGATGGCCATGCTGACTCTCTGCGAGCGGGGCGCGGCCAGCGAGAGTGGCCAAGGATGGGACGAGGGGAAGAGTGCAAGGGTACACCCTTGGGAAGGTTGCCCATCCTGACTGTGCGGGTGGACTGCACGTGAGCACGCCGCTCTCGCTCCTGAGCCCGAGGCCGCGGGATTCGAGGGTCGAGGCCTGCCCCTGCAGGCCCGGGGGTGCTCGTCGCGCCACGGTCTGGCGCGCATGACGACGGATGTTCTGGGGCCCCCGGCAGGGCGCCGAGCTCGGGCCGCCTGCCTGGAGAGGCGCATCGACATTTGCCACGCCCCCTCCGCCAGGGTCCAAAAGAAGAGGAATAGGAGGAGGAGGAGGAGGAGGAGGAGGAGGAGGAGGAGGAGGAGGAGATGGAGGCGCCCTTCGGGGCGTCCATCCTCGAGGCGTCGGGCCTCGAAGGGCGTGTCGTCTCGTGGGGCGCGACATCACTGGGAGGGCGACGCGTCAGTGGGGGGGAAAGAGAGGTGCCGACTGCGGGCCCCCGAAGGCCCCATGGCGCCCCTGAGAACCGGAGGAGGCCTCAAAGGTCTCTCCAAGACTGCCCCAAGGAGCTCACAAAAGGTCCTCCAAAGAAGGCCCTAAATAGGGCCTTCTTTGGTAATTAAGGGAAAGGTCTCTCCAAGAAGGTCTCGAGGCCCCAAAGGGGGCCCCGAGACGGTCCACGAGCTCCCGAACACGGCCGAAGAGGCCCCCGAGAGGCATTCCAAGAGGCCCCCAAGAGGTCCCCCCAGGACCCTTCAAGAGGCCCCAAAGTCCGCAGGGAGGCCACGAGAGGCTTCCAAGAGATCCAAGATACATACCCCAACGTTCCAAGAAAGGTATCCAAGAGGACTCCGACCCACAACCCAGGTACGGCGGCATAATGGGGTCAATCATGAGGGTACACATAAGTATACCCATATGGAATGTATCTACTGAAAGTCCAGAATCAATACCTACACACATGCACGTATACGTACACACATACATACATACATACATACATACATACATACATACATACATACATACATGCATGCATGCATGCATACATACTTCCATACATCCATACATACACATAAACATACACATATACGTACATGCGTACATCCATACGTTCGTGCATACATACATACATGCATACGTACGTGCATATGAACAGACACAAACACATACATGAATATATACATCTATATATATAGACCGCTCCCAAACACTCCCAAAACACCAACACCAAATAACTGTCACTGATCGTTCGATCGTCCTCGGCATCGTCGCCCTCCTCCTCCTCCTCCTCCTCCCTTCTCTGCACGAGCGCCTTCGAAATCAACGAAGCCGCGAAAAAACAACAATTGCTCACACCCAAAAAACACACTAACGTAAAACAACACAAACAAACACAGCAAACCACCACACAACAACACAACAAAACTATGATGTCGGGAGAACCCTGCCCCTCACTCTCTCCCCAAAAGTTCTCCCGAAATCATGTGTTGTTGTAAGATTTTATCGAGCGGTTTCGCTGTCGTTCGCGATGTCGCTCGGCCTTCTTTCCTCATCGCGCAAGCCCTTCAGGTGGGTGGAACGACGCCAGAATCACCAAACTAAGACGGCCCCTCCTTCTCAAACTCCCGCGTACTAGTCTGCCCCATCCTGCTGGTAGCGTTTGTCCACCCTTATGCCTACCCCCTCCCCTCCCTCCCACGACACAGGCCACCACGAGCGGCATTCATGCCGCGATCGCCACATATCACAATCGGAGCAATCTAACAATTCCATCATTGCCTTGACACTCGAAGTCTCGCACCCTAGCCTCGACCCGATCGATGTAACCCTAAACACGGATAATCAGCTCGAAGTCAGCACCCCAATCATCTAACCGGGATCGATCTAACCCGATCATCCTAGCACCTCGAAGTCGGCACCCCAATCCTGACCTCCTACACCTGACACCACAAACCTAACACCGTGACGTGAGTCTTAGTACCCTGACCTTAAGCAGTAACCCGAACCATTCACTGTGACCCTATCACCCTGACACAAACACTCGACCTTTCAACGAGCTAGCCCTAAAACGCGAACCCTAAACCATGACACAATTGCACCTACGCCCTAAGCAAAAACACACATTGTAGCATCTTAGCCCTAGCACTCTGACCCTACGCATTCGCCCTGGCACCCCAAGGGTTGTTAGACGTACGACGAAGATTAGGGCGGTGGGTTGGCACGAAGAACACGATGGGGGCGTGGGGCTCAGGTTGTTACAGTCAGGGCTGTACGGCTGGGGAACAAGTCCAGGGCCAGGGTCCGAGGGTGAAGGTCAGGGTGCTAGAGGTAGCGCGTTAAGACCACGGCGAGCACATTAGGAGTACGGTCAGGGTGTTAGGGTTTGAACTAGTCCTCAGGGGTAGGAGTGTCAGGGTTAGGTTTCGGGTGCTAGGGTAATCGTGTTGGATTCGGGGGTGGAGTGTTGAGGTTAGGGTTGTGAGGTTCGGGTTCCAGAGGGGTGTTGCCAAACTGTAGGGCCCAAGTTGATGTTTCGTGATAGGATGGTGGGGCGCGCGTGCCAAAGGCAGGTTCAGGGTGGAACGTTTGGGGAGGCAGCGTTACTGTTCGGATGTGCGGTAGAAGCTCTTACGGTTAGGGGTTGAAGGAAAAGGGTTCGCACTAACGAGTTCGGGTAGCACGCCCGAGTCGGTTTATTATGGCTCCAATACTACGGTGGACACGGCCGTGTTTAAATCAAGGTGCTCGGTGCAGGGTGTGAAGGTTCGGAACTTGAAAGTGGCGTGACACGGTTTGGCTCAAGGTGTTAGGGTCAGGGTGCTACTCTGTTGGTTGAAGAGAGAAGGATTGATTGGTTGCCAAGGTTCTGGTGCCAGGGTTACGGGGGGGATAGGGAGTTCGGGTGATGTTTATAGTGTTAGCGCTGCTTCGCTCAAGCTTGTAGTCTTAGTGTTATGGTGAAAGGTCTATGGCGTCAGGGCTTGAATTCGTGCCCTGTGGGGTGTTCGGGTCACGATGTTAGGAGTGGGGCGGTGGGTAAGGGTTATATGATGATGATGCTGGTGTCATGGTTCGGATGGATGCCAGGAATAGTGTGGCACTATTGGGATTAGCCAGGGTCAGGGTGGTCAGAGGATCAGGGCGCCATAGATTGGGTATAAGGGTGGACATGTTGCTAGCATCATAGCCCTACCACGCCAACCCTGATACACGCCAACGTTGGATTCCTGAGCGAGCTTGCCCTGACACCCCAACCCGAACCCTTACATCCTAGCCCTAAGACGCAACCCTTGCAATAACCCTTTCGCTAAAACCACGCCGTCCCCAGCTCTAATTCAACAGCTGGCCCTAGCACCCAACTGCTGGCCCTAGCACCCTAGCAATACCAGCCTAGCCCTGAGCATTAACCCTTGTCCTTTCACACAAACCTAGCCCTGAAACCAGAACTGGCAACCCTAATCCTCACACCCTGACCCAAGCAAAACTAGCCCCAACCCTACCACCATGGCCCTGGGCACTATCCCTAGCAATGCCACCCTAAACCCGAAAGTGCTGACCCTGATCATAACACCCTGGCCCCAACACCCTTACCAACGCCCTCAGCCCGAGGCTGCACTGCCCCGCGAGAGGAGCAGAGGATGAGGAGCAGGAGGGGGAGGAGATATTAGATGAGGAGATGAGGAGAGGAAGATGGTAAGGATACTGAAGAAGATTATAAAGATACCCCCCATCAGTCCGTCGCTTGGGGGTGCTGGAGGGAGCTTCTATATATATGTGTGTGTAGACACACATGCATACGTACATTCACCTGCCGTGGCCCTCGCAACTGTTGACGAGAGTGAGGTGGCGGCGGTGTCGTCGGACGCCTGCGAGACTCGAAAGCAACACTGAAGAAGCGCGCCGAACATGCCTTTTTAAGCCATACCCAACAGGTCCTCCACCTGCGCCTCTCAAACCACTGGGTAGGTGGCGGGCGAAGACGACGACAACACAAGAACACACCACACATGATCCGCACTGCGGATCCCCACTCCGCCCACACACCATTGGACACTGTAAGAACGTTCTACCCCCTAACTCAGATATACACGTGTACCCGTCGGTCGGAAGATGTAGGTCAAACCATGAAGTAGGAAGGCGTTGGAACTAGGCTGGATATCCGCCCGCCCACACCCTGAAGAGGAGGGAATAAGGACAGCCCTCGGCCCTTGAAATAAGCAAGCGCCTGAAAGAGACTGGGATCGGATAATCCAACAACGACTGTGTATATATATATGTATACACACATATATACAAACATACGTAGGGCCTTCTCTCTCTATATATAGTCAATGCGAGTTTCGTGTAAGCATATACGCATCTAAACACACATCGGTAGCGATAACCATGCGGACATCGACATGCGGACGGCGTTCTGTCCCCTTCCGATCATGCCCCAGGGGCAAGTCCTCGTCCGCGAGCTCCTTCTGGCCAGCGGAGATCTCCCTGCGGTGCTCACAGAGCGCCTCCGTGCCAAGAGGCAGCACCCGCGGTCCCCCTTTACCCTCCAACAGCAGAGTGGCAATCGGAGACCGACGGATTTCACTCAGAAAGCATTTGTGTATGCGGCTCAGTCGAAAAACATATGATGATAAGAGACGGCAGTTCTTCAGGAATGCCAGCATTCCTCAAACACGCAGCATCGCGCTGCATGGGGTGTCGATACATGCTGTCGAGCGCGCGGTGAAATACCACGCCCAGGCATTGCACAGCTTGAGCCATCGGGCGAGCTTCGCGCTCGCTCAAGTTCTATATGTTTTGGGGCCCAACGTATGAAGCACAAGAGGGGCCACGACAAGAGAGACGGGAACAGCGGGTGTCGAGGACAGTGGCTTCGTTGCCGAGAGCGCGATTCGGGTCAGTGCTCGGGTCCGGGCGGATGGCGTCAAACCAATCACACATCGACATGATGTTCCCACTGCTGCTGCCCCTCCCGCAAGAGACCCCAACGGCGGCCTGGAGAGGCCCACGAGGGCCCCACGACGGTCCAACGGGACCCAACGGAAGACCTCGAAACGGCTTCACAGGACTCCCCGAAGGGACCCGTTCGCACCCTGGATTGGTGGGGCGACGGCCATCGAATCAACATATTAGCCAGCGTGGACCCCTAAACAGGGGTTTCTTGTCATCCATGCAGTGCAATGTGCGTGGTGCTACCTGCGTGGTGCAAAGCGATACCAAGCAGCGCAGAGCAACGCAACAGGATGCAGCGCAGTGCACAGCAACGCATTTCAAGCCTTGGAGAGCAGTGCGAAGCCGCGCAAAACAATGCGGTGCGATGCAAAGAGCAACGCAAAACGATGCAACGCCATGCAGGGCAACGCAGTTGAAGCATCGGAGAGCAGCGCGCAACAACGCAAAACAACGCAACGCGACGCAAAGCCATGAGCCTGTTCTTTGTTGGATTCAGGCAAGTTTACTTGCATGGCGTTCGCCCCCCCCCCCTCGCCCCTCTTCGAGCGAATACTAGCGTGCAAGTGCCTTTCGACTTGCGTGATTTCCGCGCCCCCCCCCCCGGGCTTGCTTCAGGCTCAGCCCCCCCCCCGTCCATGCAAGTAAACTTGCCAGAGTCTAAAAAAACAGGCTCCATGCAACACGACGAGGCGCAAACGGCGGCGACGGGCGGCAGCGACGGACAGCGGCCACGGGCCAGACCGACCACCAGGCCCAGCGCCCTCGGAGAGAGGTGAGCATCCTCGAGTGCAAGCGTTGCTGGGGGGAGTCTGGCAGAGCATCGGGAATGCGCTCTGTGGGCATTGCAGGCCCCCCGGATCCTCCCGGCGCCAGGGAGTCCCAAAACCGTCCAAGATTCTCGGGACTGCCCAGAGAGCCCCCAAGACGCGTCCCGAAGGCCCTACAAGGACCCCCCCAAAGAGGACCCCGAAGGGGCAAAACCATTGATTTCCCGTCAAGGTTTGGCAGGATCTCGAACTACTCGCGCCTTCGAACTTCAGGGTCCCTTCGAGCTTCAAGGCTCCCAGGACCGCCTGACAAGCTCCAGGACGTCCCACCTGGCCCCCAAGACGGCCTGAGAAGACCCCAAGAAGCCCCCAACAACTACCCCAAGACCAAGAGGGGCCCATGACGGTCCAAGGCTCCCAGGACGGTCCAAGAGATCCTCTCAGGAGGCCCGAGTACGGCTCCAGAGGGCCTGACTCTGCCCGAGAAGAGGGCCCCAAGACGGCCCAAAACGCTCCGAAGACAACCCCGCAAACCACCACGACGCACCAGGAGGGCCCAGGAGGCCCCCCAAGGAGCGCCTCGAGAGGTCAAAAACACGCATTGCCACCCCAGAAGCAGGAACGCGCGTCAGCAAACTTCGGCTCACAGAGCGCCGTGGACTGAATTTGGTCCACAGATCGGCACTATCATCCGAGGAAAATGACACGCATCTGCTCAGGAATCTCTCGCGTCAATCATGGTCTCGGTAATCACCACGGCATCGTGCGCACGTCGAGCAAAACGCATTTTCACCACGGGGCATCTGGACACCACTTCTCGAAACAGGACACGCTGAAGGTGGTGTCAATTGCCGCGCGCATTGCAAGTGCAACGGAAAGCCAGAAGCCTGCGCCGACTGGCCTCTTTGCTGAGCCACAACCGCTTCGCATCTCTTGCATCGACACTGCGACACTCGACTTGCGACACCTTCTCTTGGATACGTCCTCAGTGAATCCAGCACCATGCAGCGTGTAAAGCCATTGGCCTGCGACATCGCTCACCGCAGCGGTTCGAGAAAAATCGTCCAGCAGCCGGTCATGAGCTCGAGCAGGTCCGTGCAACGCAAGACACCAAGGGTGACCAAGTCCTTCGTTGCCAGATGATCCCGCATGCGTTCGTGAAGTTGCCAGCCGCCAGTGGTAGCCAAGATGAATCGGCTCAATGTGAACAACCAGCTGGCCGACAGTTTGCTAAGAATTCGGATGTGGAAGCAAATGGCGACCTGCAGAATAACGGAACTGAATGTGGATTCCTGAACGGCCTCGGGAGCGAATGCTTCGCCATCGACAGAATCAAGGAAAACGCGTACGAACAACACTCAGCCACATACTGCCACGCGAACATCCACAACACCTGTATGAGACGAACAGCGCGGCATGATCTGCACGGGCTTCAGAAACATCACTCCCATCAAATCTTGCCGCCCCAACATCCGGCATCCCACCGTGGACGCATGCACTTCGAAATGAAACTCCCGTTCCTGACGTCCACCTTGATCCCAGCCGGAGCGGCGCAACCTATCAGGCCAGAAGAACAGCACGACCCGGTTGATCTCGAAAGAGCCAATCCAAGAGAGCTTCCGCGCTCCAGCCTTCGGAGGCTCGCGCGCCCAGCTCGTCCCTCGCAGAATGAGCCAAGGCCTCGCGTGCCAGAAACGGCAAACAGGATCGCGACCCCTCGCCGTGCCCCTCGCGCGCAGTGGAGGGCCCTTGGGTGCCTCGCGGTCCCTGCGGACCCCCTTCGGGCGTTCGCGGACTCCGTGGCGCCCTTCTTCCGAGACCCAGGCAGAGTGCTCGAGGCGCCCAGCCTCGCACGCGCCCCGAGAGGGCGCCGAGGGGGCCCCTCGAGCTGCCAGAAGAGACCCGGGGGGGGGGGGCAGGTCAAGAAGGCCACGGCGCACAGCACAGATGGGAGCTTCCCGAATTTCGAGTGGGCCACGCCTGTCGGCCTTTCATGAAGGGGCCCCAGGACACACAAATAAATACACACAATGAAAAATATCCCCTATATGTTCCCATATTTTCTGGGTTTTTGTCTCCCCCCTCCACTTCCCATATTTTCCCATATTTTCTGGGGGATCGAGGATTAATTGTGTCTGTGTGTTTCTTTTCCTCCTGATTTCAGGGCACTCACAGTGGCCCACGAGCTCAAAGCCTCTCCGAGACCGTCCGCGAGGCCCCCACGCAGGGGCCCCCCGTCCGCGGGGCCTGCAGCGCCCGAGAACGGGTTCGGCGTGGCTGGAGGAAATCGGAGGCGCCACCCCCGCAACGGCTGCGGACTCTGCAGGCCCCCCTCAAGACCACGCCGAGATCGGGGGAGACGTAAGACTCGGGTACGGGTAGAGGAAAAAGAACTATGCACATACACCGATTCTGGCCAGGCCCATCCTGAGCCCAGGATCGGCCTTGCCAGGATCGGTGCATGTGCATAGTTCTCGTCGCCCGAACGGGGGACTGGACCTGAACGGTGTTTTTGGCGATTTCGTAGGCCATTCTCGTTCCGATGTCGTTTTGCGGTAAAGGCGGATTCGAGACCAAAGCGAGGTAAGGCGAAAACAACACGAAAACGACAAACACCGTTTGGGTTCGGGCCTGACGGGGCCATCATGAGAATGACGAGACCCAACCTGAAATTTGACGCGAACTCCCGCTGCAGACATCCCACGAGCACCGGACCGTCAACATCCAGGACGCGCTCGTCAAAAAGCGTCGGCAAACCCGATATCCGGCTTGCTCGAGTCTTACGTTTCCCTGACACGAACGCATGCAACCTCCGCGGGACCCCTCAAGTGGCCTCCGCATACCCCAACGACGCTCCCACCCAAGGGAGACGCAGTACTCCCAAGCATTCTCCTGAGAGCTCTCCGTGGGAGCTTTGCTGGTGCATGGCTGGGAGTGCCTCGCTGGTTCGCCTGCCCCTCCTGCCTGCGTCCTCGAAGCGCAGCCCTGCTTCTTCGCTCCCCTCTACGGCGCTCGGGAGGTCTGGGAGCCCCTGGGCTTGCGCCGGGTATCAGCTCTGGACTCTTGTCCTGTTCCCCAGATATACTCCTGCTTCCCATTCGGGCCCCCAACTTGTATCCACCTGTGGTTCCACCTTTACGACACATAACTGAAGGGCAACGATAGGGGGGAGATAGGCACAAGGGGGGATGCAACGACCTGAAATCGGCGATACATCGCCGATAGATCGGCGATAGGCCCCCGATAGTGAATCCGCACCTTCCTGGGCAGGTTGGGGCCATCGGGCCCCCATCGGCGATCAACGAGCGATTGGGGGGCGATGCATCCCCACCTACAATCGGGGCGTTGACCTAAGGAACCCTAAATAAGGAACGAGGCCCCTTTTTTCTATAAGTTAGCCCTCGATTTCCTGTCGAAAACAGAAGGAAAGCCTGAGGCAAGCTGTGCAACACTCCAGGAACGCAGAACCCCTCCCCAACTAAAAGGGTTCCTTCCTCAGGGCCCCGACTGTATGGCTATCCCCCCCCTTATCGTTGCCCCCGGACAGCGCGCTCCCCGAACTCTGGCGGCGCGTCACGAGGCCCGCGTCCACGGCCCCGCTCGCGCCGTCGGCCGCGCCACCCCGGGATCCCGCCTGTGAGCTCGTGGGCCACAAAGCGCGCGGCGCGTCGTCCGAGGCACTCGGTGGCGGGATTCGGCGAGCCCGGCTGCACGCTTCGCATCCGCGGCGCCCCTCGGGGTTCCTGCGTGGCCTCGAGCGGTTCTCCGCGCGCTCTCGATCTCCGCTGGCTGCTGCCTCTCTCCCACGTGGCTCGTGTCGGCGCCCATGGCCATTGACGCGGAGGGCATCACTGCTTCCGTAGGCGCGGTTATAGAAGCTTCACAATCAATTTCGAACATGACCCACATGGTGGCCAGCGAAGCAATCATGGACTCCATGACTCTAAAGTAAGAACTGCCCACTCCGCTCTTGATTGCAACCCTACCCTTCCTGATGTGCATTGCATGGCCAGTGTTGGGTTGCCTGATTCCATGTCTCCACCACTTACCTTTCTGCAATTGCCATAGGATTATTCAATACTTCTCCGCGCGGAGTCAGCGGAGACAATCCGTATTTCATCCAGTACCGCCGTCTCCACATTAGATTCTGGACCACCCTGGGGAACCACACTCCCTTCTTCTGCCTCTTGGTTTGCCTCGACGGGGGCCTCGCAGAGACCGTGCTCCTGGCACTTCATTTCTTGGCATTTCATGCGCTGCCTCACTTCACGCGCCAACGTCTCTTCACTCCAGTCGGCTCCCACTGGGCTCCAGGTGGACCGGTGCGCTCCCGGGCAACGGCACCACGTTCCGAGGCACGGGGCGGAGGGGGAGGGAGGCGGCGAGGGAGAGGAGGCGGAGGGGAAGGAGGCGGAGGCCGGAGGGGAGGGGTGTGGGGAGGGATGGTCGGAGCAGGGCGACTTGAGACAGCGGCAGCTCCAAACCCGCCCCCGCGCACACGAGGACGCCCGCTCGGGGGCCCACTGCTGCTGCCCCTGGCCGGCCCTCCTCCGGGAGTTAATGGGCGGAGGCGCGGGAGCGCGGTGCCGAGGAGCCGAGGCGGGGGGAGGGCGAGGGGGAGGGCGCCACCTCCCGCAAGAGGAAGGCCGAGGCAGCACCCGCCGCCGCCGCGCCCACCCCCCGCCCTGCAGCTCCCGGCTCTGCGCCTCTCCCTGCTCCGTACCCCCCCCCCCCCCCCCGTCGCCGCCCTCCTCCTCTCTCCCCCCCCCCGCCCGCCCCCATCGCCTCCCTCCTCCTGACCCCTCCTGCCTCCCGCCCGTCTTACTTCATCCGTCTCCAACCCCTCATCGCCTTCCTCCTCCTCCTCCTCCTCCTTCTCCTCCTCCTCCTCCTCCTCCTCCTCCATCACCGCCTCCTCGTCCTCGTCGTCCTCCTCCTCCTCCTCCTCCTCCTCGTCCTCGTCCTCCTGTCCCTCCTCGTCCTCTTCGTCGTGCTCCTCCTCCTCTTCCTCCTCCTCCTCCTCCTCCTCGCTCAGTGTATTTCACAAGGTCCATCCTGGCTGACTTTCACCCTGGATCGCATTTGGGCAAAATTGGAGTGCGAAGCGGGCCTCTGGAGGCCAAAATTGGTTAAGAATCTCCAGCTCGACGATTTGAACACAACTCCCCCCACCCTTTCCACCACTCTCAGAATGAGTTGCCTCCGTACTCATCCTTCATATTGCTCCGATTGAACTCATCATCTAGCCAACAGGTCTTGTGCCCAAGAAAGCCTGGAACAACTTTTGGAACCAAGACGATGTGCTGATCCGTGAGAAGCACTCTTGCAACCGACCAAGACCTTGGTGGCGCGCACAAGCGGGCGGTGCGAGGGAGGGGCCTTCTAAGCAAGCGGGCTCAGATGGGACGCGCAAAGACATACTAGTACCATACTGTATGTTCTCCTGGGAGGCGCGCGTCCGACCCGAACATATCGTATACCCATCTTGTAGCAGATCGTTCCCCGAGCGGCATGGCCAGAAAGCGCCCGCCTCAGCCCCGTGGGGGCGACGCACATATTAGTATTAGTATTAGGTCGGGCATGTCCCACTACAGGCGGATTTTGGACAACAAACTAAAAAATAGTCCAAACATAATCCAAAATGGTACAACCAGTTTAAAAAATCGTCCCCAGACTATTTTTTGACTATTTTTGAATATTCCTCCTGTAGAGGGACAGGCCCGACTTGATATTAGTAGATTGGAGTGACGCAGATAAGACGGCAATGAGTTTCTTCGAAACCTTCCAGGGCGCTTCGAGACCCCCCCCCTCTCTCAGAGGGCTGCCACCTGCCGCCCTCTCACGATCGAGAAACCGACGTTACGGCTACAGACAAGTGCGGCCCACTACTCGCAGAACGTAACTGCTCGCAAGTGGTCCAGATCCGCCTTTGGGGGGATCTACAATACACTACATCGATGCAGACATGTGTTTTTGTCCGGACGCCTGCGAGAGGGCACTTAGCGAGCAAGGGCACGCGCTCGGCGAGCTTACGACCTCCTTTCCGCCCCCTTGCGCGCCCCGCCAAAGAGAAGCCCTCAACCCCTGCCTGGACGTAGGGGTTCAAGCTCGAGAACTCGAGGCTCACCTCACGGGGCCGCGCCGGCGGCCGGGAGGCGCGGACCCGGCCGTGGGGCGGCGCCAACAAAAAACGGCACCGGCGCGGGGCCCGGGCGAGCGTGGGCGACCTCCCATGCAGTCGACCCGTGTGATGAGGACGCGCGGTAAGGCTGCTAGGGCCTGGGGAGGCCATGTCGACACTTCGCGGGCGGGTCGCGGCCAGCGAGAGCGGCCAGGGACGGGCCGAACGAAGGGGAAGGGTGCAAGGGTCACTTCGGGAAAGTTGCTCATTCTTGCCATGCGGGTTGACGGTAGGGAGCTCCACCCAATTTCGGTCTCAGTTGGCCCGGCCGCGTGCGGGCCCGCGCCCACTTCGGCACCCCCCTCACGCGGATCGCGGCCCCATAGAGACTTCAACGTACGACCTCAGTTGGCGCGACCGCGTCCGGGCCCGCGCTGATTTCGACGCACCCCTCGATAAGATCCAGGCCCCACCTCCTCCTCCTCCTCCTCCTCCTCCTCCTCCTCCTCCTCCTCCTCTCCCTCCTCCTCCTCTCCCTCCTCCTCCTCCCTCCTCCTCCTCCGGAGCTCCGCCGAACTACAGTCAGAATGGGCCCGACGCAAGCGGGCCCGGGCCAAGGTCGGCACGCCCCTCACGGGGACCGTGCCCCATACAGAAGCTCCAGCTGCAGTCTCGGTGGGCGCGTCCGCCCGGGGGCCCGCAACCAGCTCGGCTGCTTCCCAGCTGCTCCGACCTAGCGACGCGCGGTCCACGAGGAGATGGCCATATCTGGCGCCACTCGCGGCTGCATGGGCTCATTCTACATTTTCATCATCCCTCCCTCCTCCCTCCTCCGAAGAAAGGGGAGGAAGGAACGAACGGGAGAGAGGAGGGGGGGACGAGCTGGAGGAAGAGGGGGAAGGCGGAGGAGGAAGAAGAGGAAGAGCTGTTGTTGAACTCCACGCCAAGCTCCTCAAAACGCCAGACATAGGCGGGAAAAAAAATAAAAACCACAAAACATACAACGGGCGTACCACAACACACACACACACACACGCCCGTCCCAAGTCCCCCTCTCATCAATCCGTGCAAAAATTCTTCTATACTACGGGGCGCGCCTCCTTTGAAGACGAGCCGGCTACGTATGGCCTTACATTCAAGCGAGATCCTTGTTTGGAAAAATGAAACGCCCTCAATCCATGGGGCCAGTGTAGGCAAATATCAGCTCGATGACGAGACGCCCTCCATCTGTGCAGCATCGTTGCCACGTCGTGCGGCACGCGCTTCTACATACATCACAGCAGACTGGCAACTGCTGCTCCAGACCTACAGTCGGCCTGTATAATAAGGATGCGCGAGAAGCATGCAACGGCCTTGGACGCACATCCCGAAGTTTTTCGAGCGGGGCGCGGCCAACGACAGTGGCCAAGGATGGACCGATGGGGGCAAGGATGCAAGGGCACCCTCGGGAAGGCCGCCCGTCTTGACTAAAAGGAGAAATTGCTTTTGAGCTCCACGCCCGCATCGATGTCCTCTACGTGAGAAACAGGCGCCCGGGGCGGGGGGCCCGAAACGAAACCAGGCGTATGTGCTGAAGCACTGCAACAGACTGTCAGCGTCAACAGTGGCACCCGCTGCACGCAGCCTGTAATGCGGGCGACGCCCTCTGAACAGCGCTTTCCAGCGATACCCCTCAGCTCGAGATGGCGGCGGTTGGCACTTGGCCACGAGGCTTCGCACCGAAGCGCCGCTGGAGTACAGCTTGCACCGCGTGCGAATGAAAAGAACAGAGCCGTCTGAGCAATCGAACGCGATCGCGCGGTGCTCATGAGCGTCCTGGCGCGAAGCGTGCAGCGGAGAGTCGAAGGGGCAGGCCCCGGGAAGCGGCTTCACCGCCGACCTCCTCCCTCGAAGACACAGCACAATGCCGCGCGCTCGACAGGATTCCCAGCGGCGTCCTGCTGGCGCCTCGGCGGCAAAGGGCACGGCTGGCACGCGCTCAACCTCGGAGAGACCCAAGGCTGGACACAGGTGTAGCACAAAGACCGCCAAACGAATCGTCTGGCGCGCAAAAGAAACCATATCGTCCGCAACATCCAGCTGGTTTTGATAAGACGGGTGCAGACGAACGGCGTGCTTGGCCGCGGCGTCCGCATGGTGGTTGCCTAGGCGCTTCCAGCGCTCGACAGCGTCGATGCCGCTCTCATCTGTATCTTTGTGAGCGGCTACCTTGAAGCACTAGGCAGGCTTGATGCCATGGGCTCACAATTGCAAGAATTCTTACCCGAGAGCTGCTCTTCTCTGGGCCTGCTGGTCGGCTTGACAACGTTCCTGCAATCCGAATGCGCCACAATCTTAGACGAGGCTGGCACATTGACACACTTTTAGCAGCCATATTCGGCTGACTGGGGCGTCTGAGGATACGGGGCCCAAGCTGGGGCCCTGAATCCCACCAGCCCTTTGGGCGTGACTGGTTTAGAGAGCTCTCTCTGTCCTCAACCCCCCTTCTTCCCCTTCGGGGAGGGGTTTATCCCTCCCCCTACCCCCTCCCCCTGGACCTGGAGAGGGCGGGCCGAGCGTAGTCAGGGGGGTCTTTTTCGACGCCTGGGAGGGCTAAAAAACGACGACCCTCACGAGGATTCTGGCCCCGACGGGGGGAGGGAGTTTGGCCCCTCTGCTCGTCTTTGAAGCCAGCAACATTGATTTTACTAGGGCTTTGGCCCCATTTTGGCCTTCTGAAGGGGGCCGCGCTCATCTTCCTTCGCAGCAAAACCATTGATTTTACGAAAGTTTTGGGCTCATTTTGTCCTTCTCAGGGGGCAGCCCTCATTTGCGCTTCTGAGGAGGTCGCAAGAGGCCCCAAGATGGCCCCAAGAGGCCCCCAGGAGGCTCCCAAGAGGCCTCCAAGAGGCCCCCCAGAGGCCCCCAAGCGGCCCCAAGAGGCCCCCAAGAGGCCCCCAAGAGGCCCCCAAGAGGCCTCAAGAGGCCCCAAGAGGCCCCCAAGAGGCTCCCCAGAGGCCCCCAAGAGGCCCCCAAGAGGCCCCAAGAGGCTCCAAGAGGCCCCCAAGAGGCCCCACGAGGAGCCCGAACGACTCACACCAGGACGAGGGGCCCGAACGACTCACACCACGAAGAACCCGAACGACTCACACCACAAGGAGGGGCCCCAACGACTCACACCAGGACGAGGCGCCCGAACGACTCACACCACGAGGAGCCCGAACGACTCACACCACGACGAGGGCCCCGAACGACTCACACCACGAGGAGCCCGAACGACTCACACCACAAGGAGGGGCCCCAACGACTCACACCAGGACGAGGGGCCCGAACAACTCACACCACGAGAAGCCCGAACGACTCACACCAGGACGAAGGCCCCGAACGACTCACACCACGAAGAGCCCGAACGACTCACACCAGGAAGAAGGGCCCCAACGACTCACACCGGGACGAGAAACCCCAAACGACTCAAAACCACGAGGAGCGCTTTCTCTCCCTCCTCCTCCGCCTCGTCCTTCTCGCGCTCCCCCCACAAGGAGGATGCACAAGGAGGCGGGAGGAAGGAGGAACAGGGGAGACATGCGGGGGCAAGCGGACACACGCCTGAAACACACGACTGTCGGCATGCTTCGCAAGAGTTGCTGTTGTGAGATGGGCTGGTGGGGATACGCGAAGCGTAAAAGAATTCAGCCGCAGAGTCACCCATGCTGTCGACCCGTCGGTAAAGACGTCACCCCAGACCTGGGTGCCAGCAACAAGACCCGAGGGAGAGACGACGTCTTTCTGGTGCCACACATTTGTTGTCCTTAGCAGCCAGAGCAGCCTCCACTGTGCTACTGCCCACAAGGCTCGATCTAAGCTCAGCGGCCAGCACGTGCGCGCGTTCCCACAACCTGTCGATAATCGTGCCGAGGCCGCCGCAGCATGGGCAGATGCCGCCCGCCAGGCAGCCTGCGCTGATGGCGCCCCCCCCCCCCCCCCCGTGAGAAGAACGCTTCCGTGGCAAACGCTATGATGTGAGCTTTCTGAAGGGCAGTGTACTTCTTGGAAGCGAGAGCCTCGCGTAGCACACCGTAGCACAGCCGAGGGAGGATCCCCCTACTCTCCCCCGAAAGCCGCCCCAGCATTCTTAAATCGCCCTCTTTGGCCAGAACCTTGATCTAGGCGGGCGATATCCCCGGAGGCATCGAACGCCCGCGGTCATCTCGCACCGCCACGGAGTTATCCATGCGCCAGCCGAGGCGAACCAAAGACATCCTAAGAGTAATCAGGGTCGGACCAACAAATCAAGAAAGGCTTCCCGCGCCCGACGCAAGGGGGGAAGGGAAATGCCCCACTCGTAAGATCCCGACTGGCTGAACCATCTCCTTCAACCATCTCGCAATGGGGGCGGCGGCGGCGCGCCCGCGCGGTTCAGAATCCAGCGGCGCGGCAGCGGTCAAAGAGCGCAGCTGAGAACGAGGCCCGACAACCGAAACAACTTGCCTACGCAGGCACCACAGCTCCAAACCACTGCACCCGTGATTTAAAAACCGCACGAGGCCCTCGCCAGGGGGGCCGCCGAGACAACCCACAACACCTGGGGCCGGGACGCAATCTGGTTTTGCCTCTTTGAGGCGATTGGCAGCACGAGAGGCTTTCGCAATCCGCAGTTTGGATTTAACCGAACGGCCTTGGACCCTGAACGCTCGACCAGCCACGTAGTCCACGCCTGGGTTGACGGCGCCCGAGGTAATTGTCCTCCGAGGTGAGCAAGCTCGAAAGACACTTCATCTCCTAACGCCTTCGAGGAAGCCACAACGGCAGTTTTGTCCAATGCGAGAGAGCAACCGTCACACGACTCAACAACACTGTGGAGCGCCTCGACCGCTTCGACAATCGATCTGATGACGGCCCGAGAGCGGCCCGCGCAAGACAGACCTTGGTCGTCAATGTAGACGTCGAAGTCCAGACTAAGTTGAGCTGGAAAGAAATCGTACCCGTCCTGACAGAACACTTTGATGAACGTCGCGGCCATCGAACTGCCAGCTACGTCGCCTCGAAGACCGGCGCAGGGGCCGCCCAACCATCCTCCAAAGCACAGGAAGCGGTCACATCTGCACGCAAAGATGCACGGCCTGGCGATGGCCAGAGGGGACCCATGCTTCTCGCACCTGTGCCTGAGCTCTTTGAGACGGATGTTCTCGTAGCGAATGTCAAACGGCGCGCTGCATGATGACCCCCGGTTGGCCAAACTAACCTCGGCAATGGCCGCCTGTCTCCGGGCCGCGTCAGCCGCT